CCCTGAGGACAAAGGGCACAGCCTTGAAGCTGTTCCAACACTGAGCTTTTCGTGTCCCTGTTCCAGGGTGAAATACAGCACTGAAACCCCCACACCTTGCTGGGTTTGGTGCTGCCCTGACCAGAGGACCCCAGGAGACAGCAGGATGTTATTAGTGAGGCAGGCAGTTGTTCAGTGTATTTAAACTGATTAAAAGAATGTTCTCCCCTCTCACAGGGCTCAGAATCAGCCTCTGTGAGCCTTGTCTGGGCAGTGTGTCCTCACCAGGGCAGGTGGAGTGTGTGAAATCTCAGTTGGTTCCACTTAGAGGCTGTTGATGTCCGTGAAAAGCAGGACTTGTTGTCTCAGGAGCTCATTTCAGGCACTGTGTTCTGTGAGCTTTGTCAAGTGCTCCTGGTCATCCCCTTTCATCTGTGCTGTGCTCCCTCTTCCAGGAGCAGCACTCTGGACATAATGGCTGGGCAGGTTCAGGCAGCCACTTGTGAGGAAACTGTCTCCCAGCACTTTCAAAAGAGGATGAAGGCAAAGTTCCTGCCAAATCTGCACTGGCTGGAAGAGTCAGGTGGTGATTCTTAGGGCTGGGTTTATGTTTTAACTCTTTTTTTCTTTCCTAGTCAAACTTTAGCAGGCCTGTTTTGTGCAGGGTGTGTGTTGACAATTCCTGGGACCTTTCTTCCCTCTGTGTCCCTGGAAGCACAGGGAGGATGACAGGAGGCAGCTTGACTTCACCTCCAGAGCTCAGGATGCATCTGAGGGCCGAGACAAACCCCTGGGCACTGTCTGGGCATGGATGCCTGAACAGCCCTCTGGAATTAAGGATGTGAATTATACTGTGTTTAGTCACCTGAATATTAAGTTACAGCCTGTCTTCCAGTGCTCTGTGGCTTCTCTCTCCAAAGCCTTTTTCTCTGCCCATCCCAGTCTTTCCAAGCCATCAGTTTTGGTGAAAGGGGTGCTGGGGCACAGTGAGATCCCCACAAAAACCCAAACAATGTGTATTTTTAATTTCCTACCATCTTTCAGGACAGTTTAATATATGTGGCCTTAGTGGCAGGGACAGAACTTTCAGTAACCTCAAAAGAAATTCCGTGGCATCCCTGAAACTCAGGTTACAACAATATTAAATGAGTCCTTCCTAAAACGTGTCCCAAAGTCTTTTTTGGGGGGGAAAAAAAATGGAAATTTTAATTCTAAATTGTAAGAGGATTCTTTTGAAATAGTATTTGGGTAGGAATTGGAAAATAGGTCTGGTGTACAGAGGCATAACCCACAAAATGGAAACCTGTGGTCTTTAACTGAATTACTTTTCCTTTGAGGGATTAAACTATTTTAGTTAGAAAAAACATTTTGAGTATGGGAATAAATGCACTCCTATCAAAATAACCCATTATAGCTAAATCTGTGGGGATTTGGACCATCTTTGAGATGTGCCCTAATTTATTTTAATTGAATGCTTCCCAGAGGTGTTAAAGGACTGGGGGGGGGGGGGAATCAAGCAGTTACTTTTTTTATTTCCTGCTGCCTTTAGGAAAGTTATTAACCTCCAAGAGAGGGGCTGTGTCAGTTGTGTCACATGATGGACAAGTGTTATCTTGCTCTGCAGGGACAGGAGGGCTGGAAGAGGAGCCTCTTCGGGCTCGAGAGCCGCAGAGCTGAGCACGGAGGTGGCTGTTCCACTGCCTCTGGATCCTGGGGAAGGACTGGAGAGGGACAGAGCTGAAGGGTAGGTAATGTTTCACTTCAAAGCTGATCCCATCCTTTACCTAAACGTGCTCATGTGCCAGGCAGCCTTTGACTTTGGAGGGAAGGTGCTCTCCAAACTTAATTTATTCCCGTTTGCATCGTGGCCCTGTAGAGCATTTGATGGCTGAAACAAAACCCTGGCACAGGTTACCACTGTCTAGTTTAGTGCAGCTCCTTCCCTGCCTGCAAAGGCTGGGCTTTAATCTTTTGTTCTTGTGTAACTGAAGAATGGTGATGTAGAGAAGGAAGAAGGAAGGGTTATCAGAAAAGTTGAGGAGAAAGAAGCAGCAGGATTGGAGCATTTGGCTTAAAATGCAAGGAATGGCACGAGACTGGGAGTGGGTGCTGTTGAGGTGGCTGGGACCAAACAGCAGCAAAATGCTCCAAGCTGTAGCTCTGGTTGTACCAGCTGTGAGACCAGTGACTGTGATGGAGATGAGAGTCAGGGCTCCAGGACCTCTTTAGCAAAAAGAATGAGTGATTCAAACAATGTCTGGGAAAGCAGTGGGATCATTAAAACAGCCTCCTTGTTGTTCCAGCACGTTGGAGAAGAGTCCTCCAAAAGCCTTAGTGCAGAGCAAGAGGCCACATTCTGCTCCTCCAAGTGAGAGTGCAAACACCCAAGTGCCTCATCCAAAACTGTTCCTTTTTGCACGAGTGCACCCAACACTTGGGTGCTGCCTCAGCCTCCCCAGAGCTTCAGAGAAGAGACTTTTGTCCCTTTCTCTGGTTGCAGAGAGCAGATACTGCAGTGCCTGATTTTGTTGTGTTCTCCTGCTCTGAGAGCTT